CAAATACCAATGCGCGAAATGGACCTAGTGTGGGGAAATCTGTCTGATCCCATTTCGTTAATGTCCAGCACCGCGGATATGAAACGAGTTACGTACCCAGTAAACCCCTAGTAACCTGAAGTGTGACCCGTCACACTTCATGATACCTGGTGCATGGTACCATGTACTCCAGAGGCCAACCATTGGCTAACTGCATAGCTTTAATATTGGTGGCTTATTGTTTGTATATACAAGCCTACCTACAAATACATTCCGTTTGCAACTTACCTTTAACTGGTGACTTCGCTCCCTTTGACAAGGGACCTGTGAGCTGCTATTACTTGAGAGCTTGTATATACTCGAAAACCGACTTCCTCAAGCGCAAGGTGCTGTGGGATCCCGTCACAGATTATGACAATATGACACTTTAGCCTTCGACTATGATAGCTCCCTGGCGAAGATGGCCGAGGAGTCATTCAGCACTTGCCCCGATGCGTTTCTTGAAATTGTTGTTCGTCGGTCAGTCGCAACGGGATACAGTGATGTAAGGTGAGCGAGCTAATGTATGTTTGATTTTAGTGCTTGTTGCAGTGACAGATTGGTGTTCCGCATTCGAGCCAGCAGAACCGGATTCGAATGGTGGTACATTCGCGGCTTGATTGAATAAAACTTTAGAATCCGCGGTATCCATAAAGTCCGGGTCAGAGACACCCCCCACAAAACAATAATATAATACGATTTTTGTTCAGAGCAATAAATATACAGCTTGATTTGAAGTATGATCTCTTACACAAGCATTTTTGCCCGTTTAACGGCACTTTAGATAGTACTTGATCGGACTGTGGGTGTAGCTCTACCGGATACACTTTTGATGCCTGAAAATGCGTCCACGTGCTGAGGACCGGGGAAGTCATCAGATCAGCTTCTACTTGGATAGAATAAATCTTTTTATGCTAAAGTTCGTTTGAGAGACAGGCTAGTATAATCAAAAGTGGTAATGTAGCAACAGCAACAAAAAAGGGTGCAAAAAATGTTGTCCGTTAATTTTTACTATGTTTAGGGTTTCCAACGGCTGACTTAGCATATTACAATACGACTTCCCAATCAGGCGATGTGATATTAGATAATGCCCTGCTGCTAGGGCAAAACTGATGACTTAACTTCAGCTCAGTTAACGACGATAGCACAGCTAAACCAGTTCCGGTCCGGCATGAGCGATTGTAACGATAGAGCTAGGCTACCCTCTAACGCTGACATGTTAGTACATTCGCATGTTACATGTATTATGTAAGCAAGTGCCTAGTTTTCTGAGCTAACATGTCAATAGCACTTAGAGCCAAAATATGAGGTGTAAAGGTAGCATGAAGCTACGCTGAATTGGATACATTTGTCGATTCAGGCACGTAGTACAAATATCAAATCTTGACATGTTTAACAATAATGACAGGACTGGACGAAACGAGTAAAAATGCCAGCGTCTTTCATGATTACATTCGAGCACTAATGCCTGTCTAGCAAGATCGAGCTACGTCAGAATTCTAAACGACCGATGGTGACGAATATTGTCAAGAAAACCCGCATAGCAGGAGATAAAGCATCTACTAAAGCCGCAATCAACAGTCCCTCTCCGTTAGCATGTACTACAGTATAGATTATGAGCCAGTGTTGGCAGTGGAAAGATACAACGTCTTTACAATGGACATGTTTAAACAGTGTCTAAAGTGTCCATTGTCTTTTGAAGGAGCAAAACCAAGTTACCAATGACTACTGTCAGCGACCGAATAGTGGACTCTGCGTGCAGACGCAGGTAAAAAGTCAGAACGGTTCATTATGGGCAATTAACCGATTAGTGGACTTTGCCCGATTGAACGTCTTAATAAATTCAAGTCAAAACCGCACCCGTTATTACCGTAGGTGTCTTTTGACTGTCTTTAAAAGGGGGAATAGCGCTCGGTAAAAAATGTTTAAACAAACGGACGTCTTAAACGTTCTTTGAACAGACGTCTAGGTATAAAATATTGGTAGTTAGGATCCAGTAAGATCAGTGGAGCCCTAATAGGGTCGTTACTGGAGACTTTAGAGAGCCATGTTTAAAGAGCAGGATCGTAGCTAGTCGAGTTGGCTATGTGGACACGATACATGTAGCATCTCGCAAGCATCAGATTCCGACAGTGAAATGATCGCTGCAGTATCCAGTAATGACCATTTCGCTGCGCATGATCTGCAAAGAGAATAATAGCACGAGCTTTACAGTTGATGCAATGTATAGGAAGGGGCTCATCAAGCTGGAAACCACACGGAGGGTGTTTACCTCCCCACGCAGCCCAGGAAGAAACAAACGAAATGTTCTAATACTTTGTAGTAAGTGCGAGGGCTCACTTCAACCCGCCGAAAGTATCCTTAAGTGCCATGTAACGCGATTAAACTCCGAGGCTTGAGCAGCTGTGAGGGTCAGAATTTTTCTCGGTGCGCAGCAAGCTCTTTTGGTGCTGGCCGCTTCAATCATGGTCGTGAAGTCTTCATGACAGCAACCCCAGTGTTCGATCTGTATTGGAACTGCTCAGAATTACGAGCGGAGGACAAGGAAGAAGAACACCGAAGTCTTGGTGGCGAAATGCAGCAAGGTTTTTTCGACATCGCAGAAAATGTAGACGGCGAAAGTACTGGCGAAACCATATGCCCCTGGACTCTACACCACTACTTAAGGCAGAGTCCGCAGTTGACACTTGGCTGTGCGTGAGGTGACAATAGGACATTCAGTTTAAACGTTTCAAGTGAATAGTTTCCGTCACGAGAGAGTGCAGGTCGCATGATTTCCTGAACCTCGCTGCATCACGCCTTCAACAACCGCACGCAAAGGTGCGACATCGAAACGGTTTTTCTTTCGGCGAAGGACGCACTGCCGCGGCGCGACATTCCGCATCATATCTGGCAAAACGTTTCTGCTAGAAACACACACACTTCCACGGTCTGGCGTGTGGACTGCCACTCCGATCGATCAGTTTGCCACGCACAAACCGCCAAACCATGTGTTGGTGCAGGCATTTCTTCCGGGTTGGCGTGCAAGGGAATACATGTAGCTCCGTCGGAATAGCTTCATCACAACAGCTAGAGCTATTCAGAAGAGCCGCCATTTACGTAACTAATTCGACGTTTCCTGTCCCCCCCCCAAAAAAAGTCCACTGTCTCAGCGTTTGCGGTCAATTTAGAGTTCGGTAAAGCGGCCAGGCTCTGCAGAAGTGAGTGTTAAAGCGATCTTTATTCTTCTTATTCCAACTTCAAAGGGGTCAAGTCCCGTGTGGCAGGCTCACTTGTCGCCAGTTGTGGCGGTCACAAGCGTCGCCGCCGTCGCTGAACCACACACCGCTGCTAGACATCGGGCGCGTCACGTCTGCAGACTAAGATTATTGTCCCGAACGAGACAGGCGATGGCGAGAGCAAAGTAGCCGATGGCCGGTTCTTGCCAGTGTCGCTCATGTCAGCGCCGTCCGGAACGGAGCTTGCACTTTGCGCTCACCCCGAGGCAGAAATGTGCGTGGGTCGGAACGAGTCATTCCCGATTTCTCCCGCTGCACCGCAAGCAGCCAACCCCACCGCAATAAACATCACCAAAGCGATCACCACGATGCAGAGCTTGCCACCGTTTCCCGTGTGCGTCACCGCTCCCAGTACTTTCAGTGTAGCACACCCACTCCATCGCGGCACTACAGTCTACCACCAACGACACTCTTGCCCCAACGTAAGCTTCGACAGCTTTGCAGCCACGCTGCCCACTGCGTCTCCGTCGCAACTGGCGTCGCCTACCGTGACCTACAGCAAGACCCGCGCGCCCGGTGTCAGTCCCAACAAGAAAACCCGCAAGAGTCGCGTCGTCTTCGACTTCACCACCGAGGAGATGGCCCAGTACTTCCATATGTCCCAGCGCGAAGCCGCACAGCAGCTCGGCGTCGCCACGGTCACCATCAAGCGCAACTGCCGGCGCCTCGGCATCGTCTGGCCCTACCGCCTCATGAAGTCCAAGAAGAACGCCATCAACTGGTCGGCCATCTCGCGCGAGGATGCGCAGCGTATCCGAAAGGAGCGCGCTCTAGAACGTGCTAAAGCCGGTCGCTCGCCCTCGAACCGCAGCCGTAGTCGATCTTTATCCAGCTCCCGCTCATCGGATCTTTCGGACGACGAGACTGCAGCCAAGGCAATCGCTCTGCTCAGCCACAGCAGTAGTGTCAAGCTTACGGAGGCCGGTCGCGCCTTCGCTCGATTGCCACTAGACTGCATGGACATATCCAACTAGAGTCACTGCCTTCTCCGTGGTGTTGTCCCGTGAGTGACTTAGTGTACTCTTAATCTATTGCTGCATATTAGATGCACATGAATCCAATACAGTTGACGCCCTCACAAGAGGTGCGAGGTTTATGACATCAACTTTCTGCTTGAGCTCTTCATTTTGGTAAAGAAACCAAAGCGCAACATCCAGATTAAATGTTCAGAGTCTATGCAACGAGCTCCTGCTTTGGCTGCACCGATTGCCCAGCGTAAAATTCAAGTGAAGGGGTGCAAATGAGGTGGCGTTGGTCGCGGCTAGACAAATGGCATGCGTGCTACCTACTGCAGACCGGCGAAAGGTGAGTTACGCACTAGGAATCGAAGATTTTAAGTTGTGTTGTGGTCGTAAACCTCACGGTGTGCCACTGTGAGGACAGGCTTCGACGATACAGCATCTGTAAGTGGACCGTGTTGAGGAAAGTCTCTGCTGCTAGAGAGCCCTTCACCCTGATCAACTTGATCATCAAGGTCTCCTTGAGCCAGCTCTCGTCCTGAACTTCTTCCACCGTTTGGTGGAGAGGATCGCTTCAAGAATCACGACATTGGTGTCGCCATGGGAGTGTCGCTGACAGCGATCCTCTGTGACTCGTCGAGTCTTGTGAAATATTGCTTTGCAGTCTACCGTAGACTGCAAAGCGAAGACTACAAAGCAATATTTCAGGAGAGCGGTGGCAATGATTTATATGAGCGACGCATGAGCTGCTCTCAATTCCTCAAAAGCAAAGATCGCCATGGTGCCACTCCTTGCCTTATTCTGTCATGGCGTTGTAAAATACGAAAGACCAGAGGATCTTCTGTCGCTTCGCTGAGTTGCATCCAAGTTGGATGAAAATCATCATGATCCAACGAGACCAACGCAGAAGAGTACAGTACTACGTATTAATAGTATTAATTTAATACACGCAGTGTACTTCAAGTAGTATTCAAGATGTCAATGGTCATACAAGCGATGTTACTGTTGCGATCCTGTTTCATTATTTCGCACGTGTGGGGACAGATTTTCTTTAGGACTTCATAAAACAGTTCCGCAATCCCATTATTACAGCCTGTCAGCTGTACCGGTACATGTACAGTACAGTTGACTAACACAATCTTGATTACTGAAGTAAGTTTTAGTCAATATTCTGTCCAATCCATAATTATAGTCCAAAATTCGATTTGACAAGGTTGTTGATGAAAAAATACAAAATCGTAAGCCCAAAATCTCACATCCACGAAACATAACAGTCCTTTTGCTTTATTCTAGAGACATCAACGTGTTACGCACTTTTCATTGCTCCATCACGTGCTTAATACGCGCCACCCAATCCTCATAGTGCGCCTCCGTCACCGCTTGCAGCAAGATCCTACACAAACCCAAAAGCAACCGTCACACCAAGTCTGCTAAGAGCAAAACCCCAACCAAGTCCACAACAAACCTGAGTTGTCTCCGCTTGTTGCCCTGGATAAAAGTCTGATACAGTCGGTCTAGAATCGTCGCGCTGTCCTCCGCCTCCCTCTCGTCCGCCGACTTCCGTGGCAGCTTGGCCTGTAGATCCTCCACACACCACACCACACGCTCGTACTCGCCACGAACCAGATTATTCCACGCCAGAGCCGCCAGTTGTTCGTCAATACTCGTCTCGCTCTGCTCCACGTGATGTTCCCAGTCTCTGGCCACACGCACCACATGCTGAGCCAGTAGCCGCTCTTCCTGATCAACACTTTGCCTCAGTAACTCGGCCGCGCTCTCCATCCTCAGCGGCAACGACGAGCCCGACGCACTGGAACATTCCTCCAAAATCAGCAGGAAATTCGCAGCTGTGCGAAGCTCCGAGCGTCGCTGACAAACCGCCAGTAAATCCATCGGGTCCCCCGCTGCCGGGAACAGTACTTTAAGGCGAGAGGGCTCACTCTTGCGAGCCACATGCGCCACAATCTCGCAGTACTCGGCGATGTCCGTCTCGCAGTCTCCACTGTCCGGACGTAAGAGCTTGATGGCGGTGTGTAGCTTCTCCTCGGGACACGATTTCCCGTAACAAGCTTCGAGCATCGAGTGCAGGAAAAGTTCCTGGGTGGGGGTGGACAGCGCAAACTGTCTCCGCACTCCGCTGAGCACTAGACGCGCCCACGAGAGCTGCTCGTTCTGCACTAAAAAGCACAATAGCGTGTGGAAAATCGGCTGGACTCGAGTAAAAACGTCATAGCACGGGATGAGCACGCCCGACGGCACGTAGACATCCTGCGAGACCCCCACCAGCAGTCCGAAGGCCTGTTCAGCGCCCAACACCTTGACGTCATAATCGAAGCGTAGCATGCGATCTTTCGCCGAAGGATCGTCCACCGACGTCACACAGCCCCGTAGATTGTTGTGTCCCTCTTGCATCCCAGTGCGAGACAAGAACCCGTCCAACGTGATACCATACTCGCCGAGGACTTGGTCGTACAATTCCGCAGTCGCTGGCGCCGTCCCGAACTCGATTTCGTACGTTTTGGCTCGCAGCGGGTCGTGACACGCCAGAAACGTCTCCAGACGTCGACTGTCTTGTTCGAACGCCTTCGTGTGCGTCATGTAGACGCCATCCAGCAGCGGCAGCCACACTTTCATGCCGTCTGGGCCGTACAGTCCGTAGATCAGTCGACACGGCGCCGGCCAGGACGCACACGTCACGAACAGCCTCGCCATGGTGCTCACATTTGAGCACAGCAGACGCTGCGAGCGGTTCTCCGGGTCCCACACCGTCACGTCGCCCCGACTGTCGAGGAACGCGAACCTCGGCAGCACTTGTTCGGGCGTGTATTGGTCGGGCACTTCTCCCCCCACGAGCATGTTGACGACACTCGAGAGCCACCCGGCGTCGTCCTGTTCGTGCTCTCGCTCCTGTCGGTATTTTCGCTGCTGCTGTTCGCGTAGCTTGTCGTCTTGGACGTGCAGAAAACGCGGCAGCACGGCAAAGTCCACGATCGCGTGGCGGCTGCACGTCCCCGCAGCTTGAGACGCGGCGACTCTGGACGGCAAGCTAAGCTGTCTCTTAAGCTGCATGTGCAGATTAAGGTCGTTCTGCTTGATAGTGCCCCCGTGCTGCAATTCCAAGCACCACAACTCGCTCCTCGAGACACAAAACAAGTTCCGGAGCGCACTGTCTGTGTCCATAATGATGAAGCAGTCGTCGTCACCGTCACGTCCTCCTGGCGGCATCTCCCCTTCACGCGCGAACACGAGCTGCTCCAGAATAGATTCCTCGTCCAGGTGGTTCCTCGGATACGCCTGCAAGTGCAGCGACTGATGCTGCTCACTGAAGCGCGTGAAATTGACTACAATCGCGTCTTCGCCCACCCATAACAGCGAGTATACAAACATATCCTGCTCGTCGTTCACGTTGCCAAACATTCGCCACTTGCCCGTTACGATATTCAGCAGACAGAAGCCTCGCTGTCCCGCCACCGCCACGTGATTCCCACTCGCACTTAGCGCGACAAGACGCAGAGGACAACATTTCTCGAACTCGGTGGGGACACTCCAGTTCACACAGGACGTCACCGCGCACGGGTCGTCCAGAGACGGAGCAGCCACTAGCCGCACACTTGTCCGCTCCACTAACGCCAGACGAGACGATTTCCCGCCGGACAGAGGCACAGTTTTGGCGAAATCGAACTCGACGAACGCAATGGCCGAGCGCTGACGCATTTTAACCAATCGGCGATGCGCGTGCAGCTCCTCAAGTCGCTTTTGCTTCCTCCGATACACCTTCTGCGCCAGAAGAGCGTTCCAGTATTCCGTCATGACGTTCACAAAGTGCCGAGGATTCCACACCGGGAACAGAGCGAACACCAGCTTGACGTACTTGTGCTTGGCCACGCGCGTACACGTGCCCTGGAGCGCCTCCCAGCCGTCGAATTTCGCGCGTCGTTCGAGCTCCAGAAGCGGCGGACGCTCCTCCAGGTCGCAGTCTCCGTGGAGCGCCTGCATGCGGAGCGCATACTCGCGGATACTCAGCGTCTCGTCCTCCCTCAAGTGAATCCCATGGGCGTCCAGGAACTCCGAAGAGGACAGCGCTTTAACAGCCAATGGGAACACTTGGTCCCACTTTAGGCGCATAAACGTGAGCGCCACGTCTTCGTCATCTGGAAGTTGCTTGATCTCTGCGACAATTTGCTCAAAAGGGAGGTTCACAACCTTCAAGTTGTCATTAATCCCCACCAACAAGTCGCCTCCTTGGATAAGCCCACAGGCCTCGGCTGGCCCTACGCCCCCGTCGGCGCGCTTCGTGAAGCTTTTGTCGCTTCGAACCCACGCGCCACAGCGCCCCGGAGCCCCCGAGAGTGACAGACACAAACCGTCCTGAGCCTTCCGCACAGTTGCCTCGACACTTTCGAACAGATCGTCGGCTTCCGTCACGTCCACGTCCGCTTCGTCCTCGATTTCCTTCAAAATTTCATCTTCCGGGAGCTCAACCAACTGCGTCGACTGCTCGCCTCGAGGCACGACAAGCAGCGAGTTGCTCTCTCTTGTCCACTGCAGCGCGAGGACTCCGAAGGCGCAGACTTCTCTCATGTTGCACTCGTCCATTTTCTCGGGCCTCTCCTGGTTGTGCTGCGGTAAGCTCGACATTAAGCGACACTCGTCGGTTGAGAATAAAGAAAAGCCACGCAACTCGTAGCCCACCGCCACACTGCGGCCGTCGTAGGACCACGCTAATGCGGTGACCGATCCGACGTCTTCCGGGGTGTATCCCCAGGCTCCAAGACTTAATTCTTGAATTGGGTCCAGTGATAGCGTCGTTTGGGTCTTTGTTTCCTTTTTGTCCTCATTTTGGGAAATCTGACTTATGTTGCTCAGTGATAATCGGAACAGCGACACTCCGCCGTCCGACCATCCGAGCGCGAGTTGCGACCCGCTGGCGTCCAAACTCGTCGTGGTGCAACGGCCAGTTGAGCTGGACCCCCTACTGCCTTCTCTTTCCGAGTTAATCAGCGATAACAACTGGTCGATACTCTTTTTGGCGGGTGACAGCAACATGATGAAACACTTCCCGCCGTCGAAACTTGCCACGAGACACAATGACGTAATCTTTGCAACGGGGTCCGCCGTTGCGCACGTGAGATCAAAGCAACTAGCTGGATCGGCGTCGTCGGCAACTGCCAGATGAGTGCGGACATCAATTTTCCAGAGTTTGGTGGAGCTGTCCGCATTGCTAAACCACGAGCTTTGGCTGTCGCTGGAGTCGCGAGAGTCGGCAACCTCCACGACGCAGATGAGGCCACTGACCATGCCCACGAATACGTACTTGCCGCCGGGCACAGCACTCATGCACGCGGCAACGTCTTCATAATCGCTCTGAGACGCGCCTTGGTTCAGCGGGTAGTCTTCAACGAACTTAGCGACAAGTTGAAGTCCCTTGGAAGTTGCCGTTGGCCCATCTCCCTCCTCCTGCTCGGGCTCCGCGAACGACGGTTGGTCCAGCATGGTGTTAGAATCTACGGTAGGGCCGTCCGTCAAGTGAGTATTGGGTGTTTCAGCGCGCTGCAGTAGTTTGCTTAGTCCGTCGAACGCGTAGAACTCGACGGATTGCGAATCTTTCTCCACGACGGCTACACGATCTCCAGAGACCCATTCAGCCCAAAGCTGACGTGTCTCGCTCTCCCTCAAGCGTAAATCTTCGTTTGCGTTAGGTTGTTCTTCCTCATCTAACTGCTGTTCTACCCATTGACCGCCACGGCGACATCGCGCTAAAAGGCGGCGTCCTGTTCCCTGTAGTCCCAGCGAAGCGCTCCACAGCGCCACGTGAGAGCTCGTTACGCCTGCAAACACAAACTGAGACGGGTGCATGGCCAGCGCAACATCCTCCATCCGCTCGGGGGCCGCCAACGCCGCGTACGTGCGTGGGGGCCCGCTGCAGAAGAACATGGCAGCGAGCTCTTACCGTGAGCAGCTTACGTGTCCTTGAGCGGCGCAGCAAAAAATGCGCCGATTTGTTGTTTCCATGAAATACCGGTAATTGCGTTATAATGTAAAAATTAAAAAAACATTTTATTTTTAAAAATATAAAACATTTTTTTACAATAAGAATGTTTTATTTAAAAAGCAACTACCGGTATTTCATGTCAGCAACTATTACAATCACAACTTTTTCGTATTTTTCAAATTGATTATTACAACGGTTTTTAGAGGTAAGCGGTAGTGAAGGGGTTATAAATTTTAACTTTTAATTGCAGCGAATTTGTTTTCGTCTGATTCGGATGGGATCAGATGTTGCTTCTGGTGGCCACAGTCAAAAATGCTGAGCGTGGTGCGTGGACGGATGACGGCGGCTAAGCGCCCGCTACTGGGGCGCATGGCACAATTCGCGTCGAGTGCGGATGGATCGGGCACAGAAGCAGAGCAGGCGATGCACACAACGCTACAGACGCAGCTGGAAGCGGTGCACGTCAAGGTGACGGACGTGTCGGGCGGTTGTGGCTCTATGTTCGATGTGGAGGTGGCATCACCGCAGTTCGCAGGCCAGTCTCGCGTCAAGCAGCATCGTATGGTCAATGAGGTGCGCTTGGCAATAGGAATCACATCATTGTTACCAGTGGGAGATGCTTACTCTTGCTGGCTGTAGATTCTCAAGGAGGAGATCAAGAGCATGCACGGTCTCACCATCCGGACCATGACGCCCGAGCAGTTCCAGACTAAGTAGACGCCAATCCATAGTTCTGCAGCTACATGCGTGTACTTAGCAATAGACACGGACAAATATGAAGAAAAACATCTCAGGTTGATGTGGTTTTGCACGGCACAAGCTGAGCCTGTCCTAATCCTCTGTAGGGGCTGTTTATAGGCCACAGCACGTCTGTCTATGAGCTGGAGGTGTATTTGGCGATGCCAGCTTCGTTGATGATGCAAATGTGGTCGAGGTCGCGGAAGATCTCGTTGTAGTCGAGACAGTTGCCGATCACGAACTGGTCGGGGATATTGAAGCCCACAAAGTCAGCCTGGAAGCCGCAGCTCTCCGGGTTGCGTTTCTCCAGTAGACTGGCCACACGCACCGACGCAGGCTCGTACTCCTTGAGCATGGGGACGAGCTTGGCCATGGTTTTGCCCGTGTCAATGATGTCCTCGACGAGGAGCAGGTCCTTGCCCTTAAACTTGGCCAGATCCGCGCCGGAGACTTGCACGTTGCCCGTGCTCTTCGTTCCCTCGTAGCTCTTGACGCGGATAAAATCGAAGGTGAAGGGCACGTAGTCGCACTTGTTGTACTTGTGGAACAAGCGGAGCTTCTCCACTAGTGCGTGGAAGAAGGCGCTGCCGCCCTTGAGTACGCACAGAAGGTGCACGGTCTTACCTTCGTAAGCGTAGCGGATATCCTGCGCCAGCTTCTCCACGCGGTCCTCGACCAGGCCCTTGGGGATCAGCACCGACTTGACGCTATCGAGGTAGTGGTGGGGGATCAAGAATTGCGCCTTGTCGTACGCAGCGTCGTCCTCCAGGTAAACCACGCGCTTCGGGTCGTGTGTCGCCTGCGCAGTCAATAGAGGGCAGAGGTTAGCTGGTGTCGTGCATCGGCAATTGGGGGCATGGATGGTAGACGAACCGCCATGGTGTAGGAGAGGCTGACGTGGTCGATTGACTTGTGCGCCACTCAGAGTTTGTGTGTGTTTTGTCACAAACTTCGTGTGCAAGCGCCGGCATCAACTTCCCATTCACTGAATGAAAGGCAACTTCCATAAATCAGTAAAAGTACTGAGATCTGGTTGAGAGTTTTGTATTGATCAGTACTTATCCTTGCGAAATTAGTAATACAAACATGTTCAGCTTCTACTATTATACTACTACTACTACTATAATGCTACCGATATCTCAATTATCTAGCATTAATACTACAGCTAATATAATACTACCGATATCTCAAATATCTAATATGCGAGCAGTGATAAACAGTTGTGTGGTATTCTACAAAGCTACTACAGTATCTGCCTGTAGCGCTACTGCAGTAGCAGTAGTTTTTATTTTAAACATTGATCTAGATTATTGCGGTAGCAGTAATACAGTAATTACCCAGAAAATTCCACTTAGCCCGTTTCCAACCGGAGTGCACGCATGCGTTTTCGGACACTTTGCAATTTGATTGGCTACTTTTTTGCTGCAAGAATAGTACCCAAAACGCATGCGTTCAAAAAAAATATGATTTGAAAACGTATTTTGACCAATTAATACCGTTTGTTCTGAACACTCGCATCGTCTCCGCTGAGTTTCTACTATGAGCCCAGTCCCAAGGCAATCTTCCCCGTTCTCCACGCATAAGCGATGTATCCCTCCTGCGCGACGGCGGCGTGGCTGGAAAGCGGAAGACGAGTTGTCTGGATTGCTAATCTGCTTGGTCATCTTTAAACGACTTATAGGCAGAAAGAAGGAGCCCGTTGTCCGCGACAGGATCTCCTGGAAAGTGCATGCCACAACTCTTTTAAAAGAGTCAGCGTTCAAGAAGTATTACCGGATGGATATTTCGACATCTCAAGAACTTTTGTGTATTTGGGACCATATCTAGTGGTCGACTATTATCAATCTCTTCGCCGTTCTCGATGTATTCCCCCGCTTACACCAGCTGCAATGCTGCAGTGTGCTCTATCGTGGCTAGCGGGTGGTAGCGATCATCATATTCGTGTGATTACTGGAATTAGTAAGTCTACGTTTTATCATGTTGTTTATCGTGTGATGTACGCAATCAATGACGCTGAGAAGCTCGCACCTCGTTTTCCGAGAGCACCGGAAGAGGCCGCAGCTGCATTTCGGTCTTGCAGTAACTACGGAGTGATTGAGCATTGCATTGGTGTTATCGACGGATGGCTATGTCCAATCCGTGTACCTCGCTACGATGAATGTGGACGTGTTTTTTTTTTTCGGGTCAGTATCAGAAGGATGGATTAAACGTTCAAGCATGTGCTGATTCGCTATGTCGCTTTACCGCATTTTCAGTTAATTCACCTGGTGGGATGAACGATTCATATGCATTTCAAAAGTGGAAGCTAAGCCAAGTGCTTCAAGAAATTGCTGGGCCGTACTTTGTTATCGGAGATAATGCCTATGTCCAAAGCAGACGCGTGATGATCCCATTTAACAAGGCACAGCTTGATGAACGTGATAGCTACAATTTTCATGTTAGCCAGCTTCGAATTCGAGTGGAGATGGCGTTTGGCCTACTAGTGAATACCTGGAGAATTTTAAAGCAACCACTGCTGGTTAGCCTTCGACATTGTCGTATTCTAATTTCGCATGTTTCTGTTTGCATAATTTTTTTGTATAACGCAACGTTGTCAGTCCACCAAGTCATCTCCAGGTCAACTTGTACAGTCGTTTTTACGAGAGGTTCGTTCATGGACTGGTGAAAAATCTCTTGAGTATGAACGGTCTGATGTGGAGCTCGAGAATGGCAGTCACGTAGACCTAATGGATGAAAAGGTTCGCTCAGACCTCGTTCGGTACTTGGCAAGCAAAAATTTGCTCCGCCCCGAGAGAAATAGAACAAGAAACCAACCAGAGGCGAACTTTCAAAAGGAGACTGATGCCGTTGAACAAGGATCTGACGTTCATGAGGCGTCTACAGTAGCCTCAGCTCTCGGAAGCTCAGCTACAGGTGACATTGTCCAGTGGCAGGTGTAGTCCAATGTTTCGATGATGTGATGGATGTTGCAGGTGTCCGCGTTGATACGGCCGTCGAGGCGGTGGAGGCCCAAGAAGCAGTACACGACTTTGTCAAGGCTGAATTTCAATTAGAGAATCAAGATATGCTAGGTCACCATCAAAATTATTGAGTGAAGAGCATTTTTTAAATTTGCATTAGTATAACTACGAAAAAATGTATTTCCTTTTTGGGTGGAGAGGTAAATATCGCCTAACATGCACGATGCACGTACATCCATCTTGAATTGTATTATCGGATTCATAATCTGATTACGAACGCTGAAGTGCAATTCAGGGCGATTACAGATTTTGAGTGCGTACTGCATCCATGATTCTCTGACGTTCTTCGAGGAAAAAGTCTAAATCAACTTGAAGACGGTGCTTTTTTGGACTTGCCGCTGAGCTCATTTCGCATTCGATTTTATCGATGCGCTTGCGGATATCATCGAGCATCTTGTAGTGCTCAGAACGCACTCGGATAGCAGCCTCTTGATCCTGTTCTCTTGCAAGTGTGATTTCAGCCTCCCTCGCGGCTGCAATTCTACCAACGAGCGTTACCAGCACCTCCATTGAGTCGGAATCAGCTTTGGGCTTCTTGTTGGGAGTTCGTCTGCTTGAAAGGCTCTCGCGTGGCCTCTTTTTCGTTGAACTGGGTTTGCTTAGGGTTGCATTTCGGCGCTCACGTGTCGGAGTTGACGGTGAAAGTGAAAACGAATTCGTCCTCCTCATACATTCCGCCACGGGCACTGTTAAGAGCCTCTGGTCGCTTCTGTTAATTGAATAACAACTTTATTAGATTGCACGCTTGCCACTCTCAATCTATAGACTTACCTTCAACCAGTACCATAAATACAGTACGTCTATTTTGCCATGCACAAACTGCTTGAACTCCTGTTCGTGAGTTCCAGATAAACGGAAATTTACCGAGCAAAAGCTAAAAAACGAAGTCAGTTTTTTCCAAAGCTCCTTCAGCTTAGCTGGGTTATGAGGAACAATGACGCCAGGATCAATAACTTCAAAGGCAGGATCATCTTCGATAAGCCCTCGAAAGACCTCATCATTTGAGTGATACTCGGTAGCCACGTCGCGCCAAAACTAAGATTTCGCTGAAGACTGAACGTCATCCAAGTCAGTTCGATCAAAGCTTCTTCCTGCGTATTTTTAATAATGATTTTGCTAGTCGCTGCATTACTTACAATATGGCTTACGTCACCTGTAGCTTCAATAAGCCTCATGAACAAGTTATCGGATAGCACTACATTAGCTAAACGAAACGTGCAGTGCTTCGTTCGCCGTGTTCCGCCCGCAGCCATTGTTGAAGCTGCCGAAGCACTTTGTCCGCTGTTCATTAGCTCGTCGTAGCGCCGAAGACACCTGATCCTATCCGCCTTGTTTGTTCTAGTGTTGAGTTTGATTTCACGTAAACTACACTCTTTCCGAATGAGATCTTGCGACTTCTTTTCGTACGGCTCCCAGGCGAAATGCCCCTCCATTATACCACCGCTGCAACTAGGGAAGACTGTCTCCGGAACACGTGCAGCAGGTAGAGCATCTTCTTGCACATCAATATCCCACTGTCTATGGGGAGAAGCAGTAGCACCTCGGCGGCCAACGTTTGGTGATGCGGCTGCAGCGTTAACTAGCTCAGGGTCTAGACGTCGAGCAATGGGGACGTCTGGCTCCATAGATCGGTGGGTTTCTCCTTCTTTGCTGTGATTCGCAGTGTCGTCCACTTGGATTGGTTATTATCACGTAAAATCTATCCAATCGGAATGTTTGATGATTTTTGAATTCCATTCCCAACCAAAGTGTAGGGTTAGGGAACGCATGGAACGCATGCGTCAGAGAGATACTCCGGTTGGAAACGGGCCTAAGGGAAATGGTCAATTTAGTAGCCGCTTTGAACAGGGAGAAGTCTAGAGCAACAGAATATCCACACTACAGAAACAGCATATTCGGTTTGGTTCTGAATGATTTCGGTATTTTTCAAAATATACGGAGTAACAGATCCCCAGCTGCTATCACGCAGTTGCGCAGGACAAATAAATAACTTCAGCCTGCCGTGTCAGCAAAATTGAGACATTCAAAATTTTGAAAGTCTGTGAGGACGTTTGGACCGCTCATTCGAAGATTTTCCCGCTCCCAGACAACCCACTCAAATCGATGGTAAGCCGTGATGTATGGCTCCTTGCAGTGCTCTTAACTGTCTAACGTGCTGTTGTGTAATGCACAGCCACCAGAAGAAGAGCTTCCTCCTTATCCTGGCCACAGCAAGCAGCGCAAGACCCCTTCCCGGGATCCCGTCGTGCTGTCGCGCCAGCAGCAAGCGGAAGCAAACCGCGTGAAGATTCGGTCCGCCACTCGCGCTGCGCAAGAAGACGTTGAGCCACCAGCGAGACGACTACCCCCTCTCGATCAAGTTGTAAGACACGGCGGGAAGGAACTGACGCCGCGCCAGGAGCGTGTGCTAGGCGCGAGGTACGGTGATCGCTTTCCAAATCAACGCAAGACGAACTCACCGCTTGCAGCCCCGGGCGAAGAATATAGATGGGAAGCGGAGGTTCTGAAGACATTGCAAGCCGATGAAAGCACGCATTCGGACTATGTTGCCAGCGAGGAGATAATGGACATGGATGATTTGGGCGCAAGTTTGGATGGTGCTGGAAATAACGATGCGCTGGCGGAGGTGCTCGACCAGCTGGATGAGGAAGATGAGCTTGCCTCGCATGGTCACAGTAATGACGGCGACTACGAAGAAGATGGTGCGATGGAAGACGTGTCCAGTGAAAGCGCAGAGTCCAGTGTGAATCACGAGGAGGAAAGACAAACAGAATTTAATACAGAAGATGAACCGAATACACATAAGATGGCATCGCATCTATCTTTGGCGGGGAATTTTTCTAATTTGGAGGATATGCCGGTTGCTGGGTCTTTCCTGGAAGGTTTTCCCGTCTTTTGGAACTCGTGGGATAAATTTTACGAGGTGTTTGCAAAGTTCCAGGAGGCTACATTCCAGCTTTTTTCTGCCGTACGAGCACATCAGTCGCTGCAAGGAACCGGAAGATTTCTGCCGAGCAGAAGAAGGCGAAGAAGAAAGACCCTAAGAAGACGAAGGGAAGGCGAGCGACTGGCGGCACACTGCTTCCTGATGATTGGGAATTGTATAGCAGAACATACCTGTGTACGCATGGAATGCCGTTCGACAGCAAGGGCACTGGTCAACGCGAGCACACTACTGTGCGTTCAAGAGGCTGTACGGCGCGTGTGAATGCTCGTGTGCGACTTAGACCTGGTGGAAAACGATTTTATTTGGTGGTGAAAGCAACCGGCATCCACAATCACAACTTGACACACCACCAGTGGTTTAGCTACGCTGAGAACCGACGTATTGATAACCCGCAACTTCGCGAAGACGTCGCTGTGATGGCCAAGGCTGGTGCAAAACTAAGAGGTATACTAGAGTATCTTCGCTCCAAGACAGGTACCGTATTCGTTTTGTAAATCTTCGGTGCATTTTTTGTTGCACTAATTCTGATTTGGCTGTCTAGGCAAGCGCACAAATTTGAAAGACGTACATAACATGACTCAGACAGCGAAGCAGGTGTTCCGCGGTGGAAAAAGTGATGCAGAGCGCGCGCTGTCGGTGCTGGATGAATTTATTGAAAGCGCCCCAGGAAATACGGCCGGATTTATAGTGGTAACTTCAACACGAATTGATTTTGGTATCACTTTGAAGCCAAACAGAACCAAACCAAAATTATACAGAACCCGTGGGACTTAGAGTTTTTTGCGAGGTGTTCCTGCTCCAGGGAAGCCCAGTCAAGTCTATATTTTGAAAAACGGCTGTGCGTTCAATTTTTCATACTCAGCGCCATATTATTGTATAGGACACATAAGCAAACGACGAGATTTGATTCGCTAGAAACTATGTAGACTATAAAAGGCGACATGTACACTATAAACGACATCAAACTTACGCACTTACCGAGCTCTTACCGCGTAAATTACTGTCACTTCGTCATTTATTTAAAAGGCCATTCTCTGTTGCACACAGAAAAAATACGTTGCCCATCACGCGTGTGTGAGAGACCTTATTTTCGTCTATCCATTTTCTGTTGGACTAGCACGATCCTTTGAACAGCTTGCACACTTTGGTCGATATCTTCAAGAGGAATAGTCCAATTGAAACGCTACTTGCGCCATCAAAAAGAGCAGACACACAGCTGTTTTTGTGTTTTTTTTACTGATTAAATGCTGTAGTTTGGTTGCGTATATGGGACTTGCAAGTTGGGCGCTACGTATGACGGACTTGTCAGTTTAGTAGCCACATTTGACTTAATTTCATTAAACTGATCGATTCGTCTGATCGATCCAAGAAGACTAAGGGTTAGGGAAAGGAAATCCTGCCTCATGTCATATTTTAACCATTTCAGTATTATAATCATTTTATAAACTGCTACAGCCTAAACCCATGCCTCTACCACAGGTTCAATTTCCGTCGCTGGCGCCTGGTCAGCTTTCTTCCTGGACGATATTGTTTTCCTCGCCTTGATACGTCTATTTGACGCTTCTGCTTCAAGAAGCTGGCGCGTCAGAATACTACAACCTGTACTCTTACGCTTCCTTTTGTTTGTTTTAGGTGATGGAGCAGGAACAATCAGGATCTCTCGTCGCACTACATCGGATACTTGTACCCACGCTGTTTCACGCTGCGATTGTGGTAGCCCGTTGCGCTCAAAGTTGGCCAGCTTTGCATGCATAGTGACGCGCGAAAGTAAACATATTCCACAGCTCCTGAACCCAGCAGCGAGATTGCTTCCTAAGCAGGCGTAATTCCACGCCAATGCAGCCACTCCTAGTGCAGTCTGCTTGTCGACAGTTCCAGACCCAATACTTGGTAGCAGTTTATCAAAACGGTTCTTCAGACTCGTCTTAAAAGGAAAGCAAACTGCCACGTCCATGGGCTGGAGAAGATGCGTTCCATTTGGCGGCAAACAGACGAGTATAATACCCAATCGTTCTGCTGCGTCAACAATAGCCAGTGATATGTGCGAGGAGCAGCCGTCCATCACGAGTAGTAGCGGTCGTCTTATTGGAGTAGGAATAGCGTCTGAAAAGAATTGTAGCCATCTTTTGAATAAAGAAGCCGTCATGAATGCTTTTTCAGTTGCCGTTACCCCCGCGCCCTCAATTTGACACTTTTCACATATGTCGTCGTTTACACTCTTTCCGGGAAAGATGAATAGAGGAGGAACGACGAATCCACTCGCACTTCCACATAAAACGAAACTCAGATGGAAGCTTGTCTTGCCTTCCTTGTGCCACACATTTTTAGATCCTTTAGCAGCGACCACTTGCTTGTGCTCCCTCGTAGTGCTAATAGCAGTTTCGTCAGCATTAAAAACTCGTGCTGCGCCAATTTTGCGCTCTATCATGACCTTAGCTAGGGACGAGAACAACACTGCAAGATCGCGTTCTCCCACTTCGTTATAGCACTTAGAGACGGACTGTGACGTCCTTAATGTGAGGGACGGGTGACGCTCCAGGAAGCGGCGCAGCCAGCCTTCCTCCATCGACAAGCCGCACACCAGCTGAGCCACCTGCTGCGCCTTCTCAAGGAGGTCGTGGTGGCTTACAGGGTGTCCGACCTGCTGCCTCCCAAGCACCCAGTCTCGGAGGCTTTCTTCTGCGTCTTCTGGTAGCATGGGATGCGGACCGCGACGGTTGGGCTTGCGAGGAATCCCTTTCCGAGCTAGAGCGACGTACTTCTTAAGCGTGTTATGGGGAATCTTGGTTTTGTCGCTCGTTGTCTTCGTAGTGGACCCCGAAAGCACCTCTTGAACGGCG